CTCCAGAACTTTCTTCAATTCTCTCTAAACTATTTAACAAGTGTTTGACTGAGTCTTGTTTTCCTGCTTGTTGGAAAATGACATCTGTGGTTCCAATATTCAAAAACTCTGGAGAACATTCTGACCCCTCCAATTATCGTCCGATCAGTCTTCTTTCTGTTATTAGCAAGGTCTTTGAGTCTTTGATCAACAAATTCCTCACATCTCATCTTGAGTCAAATAAACTGCTGTCAGACAATCAATACGGTTTTCGATCCTCTCGCTCTACGGCCGACTTGCTAACTGCTGTAACTGAAAGATTTTATCGTGCATTAGATGGAGGCCGTGAGGCTAGGGCTATTGCTCTCGACATATCTAAAGCTTTCGACAAAGTTTGGCATGCTGGTCTTCTCCATAAGCTTGCTTCATATGGTGTTTCTGAGAAAGTTTTTGAGATTATCAAATCATTTCTTTCTGACCGGTTTATTAAAGTCATCCTTGAAGGCCAACACTCTTCTTTATTTCCAGTAACTTCTGGGGTTCCCCAAGGTTCCATCCTGGGCCCTGTTTTGTTTCTTATCTACATAAACGATCTTCCTGACAACCTTTCATCTAAAGTAGCTCTTTTTGCTGATGACTCAACTTTATACTCCTGTCTTGACAAAAAGTCTTCTCTTTTCGATCGCCTAGAACAAGCAGCTGATCTTGAATCTGATCTCACTTCAGTAATAGATTGGGGTTCACAGTGGCTTATGAATTTCAACTCTAAAAAAACCCAATTGCTTACTGCAAACAACTACCGTAATATGGTCAACATTCCTATATTAATGAATGGCAATCCTCTTACTGAGTCGTCCTCTTTACGTCTTCTCGGATTATCGCTTACTACTGACCTTTCATGGAAACCATATATACAATCGATTGCTAAATTAGCTTCTGCTAAGGTTGCTTCTCTTTATCGTGCTCGCCATTTCCTTACTTCTGATTCCATTCTCTACCTCTACAAATCTCTTATTCGTCCCTGTATGGAATACTGTTGTCATATTTGGGCTGGTTCTTCTAACGATTCACTTTCTCTTCTTGACAAGGTCCAAAAACGCATTGTAAATTTTGTTGGACCTGGACTATCTGCTAAGCTTAAACCTCTTTCCCATCGTCGTAAAGTTGCATCTCTTTCTCTTTTCAAGATACTATATCTTTACAGATACTATCATGGTCACTGCTCAAAGGAGTTATCATCTCTAGTTCCATCAACTAAAATTCATTCTTGTTTTACTCGTCATTCAGCTAAGTCTCATTCGTTTACTGTATCTGTCCCTGCATGCTCTAAAAACTTTTATTCATCTAGTTTTTTTCCCCGCACTTCAATCCTTTGGAACTCTCTCCCATCTTTATGTTTTCCTGACTCATACAACCTTCAACTTTTCAAGTCTTCTGTCAACTGTTCCTTGCTCTATAACTCTGTTCTTTTTTTTTCCTAGTAACTCCCAACTTAATAGTGGTTGCTTGCAGCCTTGTTGGGAGTGAATGCAAATAAAAAAAAATAATAATAATAAATATATATATATATATATATATATATATATATATATATATATATATATATATATATATATATATATATATATATATATATATATATATATATATATACATTTATATATATATATATATATTATATATTATATATATATATATTTATATATATATATATACATATATATATATGTATATATATCAATATATATATATATATATATCAATATATATATATATATATATCAATATATTTATATATATATATATATATCAATATATATATATCAATATATGTATATATATATATATATATATATATATATATATATATATATATATATTATATATATATATATATATATATATATATATATATATATATATATATATATATATATATATATATATATCAACCCTTGAAATGAGGAAAAATGAGGTCTATTTATCTATCTATCTATATCTATCTATCTATCTATCTATCTATATATATATATATATATATATATATATATATATATATATATATATATATATATATATATATATATATATCAACCCTTGAAATGAGGAAAAATGAGGTCTATTTATCTATCTATCTATATCTATCTATCTATCTATCTATCTATATATATATATATATATATATATATATATATATATATATATATATATATATATATATATATATATATATATATATATATATATATATATATATATATATATATGTATATATATATATATATATATATATATATATATATATATTTATATATATATATTATATATATATATATATATATATATATATATATATATATATATATATATATATATATATATATATATATATGTATATATATATATATATATATAGATAGATAGATAAATAGACCTCATTTTTCCTCATTTCAAGGGTTGATATATATATATATATATATATATATATATATATATATATATATATATATATATATATATGTTTTGATGAGTTGACCACCGTTTTAATAAATTTTAAAAATCCCCTGAAACAAATGGTTTTTAATTACGTTAAAAATAATTAACTCCAAAACATAAACCTTAAGGAACAAGCCCGCTACTCGAGAAGTTCTGAGTTCAATCTCAATGACATCCCATGTAGTACAAGATACTACCAGAAACGTGGTGGGGATTGAACTCAGAACGTTTCGCTAATGAGGCAAGCTCATAAGTTGAACGCTCTAAGTTCAATCCCCACCACTACTACATTAGATAGTCAAAGCACTTATGGGTCATTAAAAGTTATTGAAATATGTAAAGAAAATAACTTCTGATTGGTCAGCTTACCAGCACATTTAAGTCATATTTTACAACCATTGAAATATAATATCATATTAAACATGGAAAAAAAGTATTAGAACTATAATATGAAATATCAAAATACAAAAATAATGATAAAGCTAATTTTTTAGGTTTATTAAAAGTTTTATATGAAAGTGCTTTACCAGAACACAAGTAGTCAGTGCTTTCAAAAAAAAGCATTTATCATCAATTTTAACAACAATAAAAATATTACATTTAAGTACAAGAAGTATTTTAATTTAGAAAATAAAAAGCACATTTCCAAGATTTAATTGTTTAATGTGAAAACAACTCATGTCAATTATGGTTTTGCAAGCAGATATGCATTCCAAAATAATATAAACAAAGAACTGATTTTTTTGCAATAAAAAGTGTAGACTTGGTGGGATAAATATTAAGTAATAGAGAGATCTATTTTACTTTTTTTTCAAAACTTCTCTTCTTTTTTTTTTTTTTGAAAACAAAGCTCTTTATCTTTAAAAAAAAAAAACTATGAAAAAATGTTTCCCATCAAAAAATAAATTAAACTTTCTGATATTGACTGAAATTAGACTAACTTACAAGTCAAAACTATTCATAAGCATCAAATCGTTTATGTTTTATTTTTTATTTTCACTTTTATTTTTCAAAACTACTATTAAAACTTTACATAGGAATAAAACAAACATTTTTTAAAAATATATCATGAAATTAGATAATGACAAAATATTCATTGAGTTTTATAATGAAAAAGTAGTTCATGGTAAAAAATTTAAAACTTAATTATGTTTTAAATACAATACATTACATTGTTAAGTATTCTTCAAACAATAACCAAGCTTTTGTTTTTATATTTTTAAAATACACTACGTAACCATTTGTAATGTTTTCATTATTAATAAATATTGGGGAAACAAGGATAAAGCATTTATCATATCTGGGTTTTTTATACTAAATATAGTCTAAACTAAGATGTTTTTACTTAGAAAGTAAGGCCACTTAAAATTTTTAAAGTAGATTATAGTTACTAATTTTTCAAAGTCATAACTGAATTCGCACATTTTTGATTTCTCAAGAGCAGTTTTCATAAATAAAAATGATATTTTTTTTGTTTGTAGAGTAAATGCCTAAAATTTGAGTAATTACTTAAGATTTCTAGTTGGTCATTTTCATTATCGTTGCTTTTATCTCTGCTAAAGTAATTTTTGATGCTCTTAATATTTTTGCTATTGACTTGGAAAATATTAGCTACCTTTTTACTGATATCTTCAAAGACTAGATTAAGATGAAAACAAATTTTTGTGCCCTGGCTGTACAAAAAAGCTGCACACAATAACTTTATCCAATCAAATGTATTGCAGTGAAAAGCCAAGAACAACAAATCTCACATCTATGACAGTAAAAAATGCCATACTTGAATGTATACATTTATATGCAGCAAAGCCTACAAAAATACTCCTTCGTATATTTTCGTATTTGCTGTAATCATGATTGAGTTCAAATTGTACTTATTTAGTTTTTTATAGATACCATGGGCAAAATAACAACACAATTTTTTTTTTATTATTTTTTTTAGAATTAAAATAAAATATTTAGAAAATCATAGTTTTTATTTTTTTTAAAGAGAAAAATTATCAGATATTTAAAATTATCAAATATTTACTTCATATGACATCAAAAAACTATGCTTATTAAAATATTTTTATGCAAAAAAAAAAAAAAAAAAAAAGTCTAAATACTGTATGGACTTGTGTAATTCAATTTGTGTGATTGACCTCGTCTCCACCAGACTTTATGCAAACCAGTAAATGAAATTAGATTAAATTTTGATTTATCACTACAAATTGTTTTCTTCTAGTACTTCCATGGGGCTGTTTACTTTTTTGTGAACAACAATCATTGCTTCATATATCTTAATCTTATTTTATGAAATACTCTATTTTAAATCTCTGTTTCGAATTTTGGATATGAACTAAAATCTTGTAATCTAATAATAATCGTATGTATAGTATAATAATAAAATAAAGAATTGGAAACTTTAAACTATATTTAAGGAATAGTAATAACACATGTATGAAATAATTAAATCTTTGAACAATAGTTATGTTAACTGTACTTATGTAATTGTATAAATTTATAAGTGTATGAATTTATTTATTTACCTTTTATTAGTTTCATCAAATTTGAAAAAAATCAATATAATGGACAGTATCAGAACAACAGAGATTAATACGCTTGGTAACAAGAATGCAAACTTTGTAAAAAACCATTTAGATGCACCTAAAATGTTTCTTTAAAATATAGAAAAAGAAGTCTATATTATCATTACTTTTATCATTATTATTAATATTACTATTATTATTATTATTATTTATTACTATTATTTTTATTAGTACCATGATATTAATTTTAATATTAGGTGGATCTTTTATTTTTAGGTAAAAATCATTTTTTGCTAAATCGATTGCATTAATAAAATTAAATTTTTTTTTTTAAATTAAATTTTTATTTACAGAGCACAAAGTGTTAGTTTACATATCTTTGTCACATATTTTACTTTTTTTCTTTTTTTTTTTGTTGTTGTTGTTGTTGTTGCTTTATTTGTTGCTTTTTGTACATATATTAACTGATTAAGATAGCAAAAGCAAGCGAAGAGTGTACATATCTCAAATCTAAGTTTGAGTTTGGGCAGGCAATTTTAATGCCAACCCTAACCCTAACCTATTTGCTATTATTGTTATTATTATTACTATTATTGTTGTTATTATTATTATCATTATTTATTATTTTTATATGTGACCAAATTAAACTGAATATATTTAAAAAGATTTTAAAATAACAAAAAAAGTCACCTTTAAAAACATTTGGATACTTGATCACTGGTGTAGCAAGAAAACCTTAAAACACTATATAAGTTTAACCATTTTCTCTATTCGCTCGTAACTTTTGAAAATATAATATCATAATAATAAAACACAATATCATAATTATTATCACACCATAAGTTAAAATAGATCTATATCAGTGAAACTGTACAAATATTTCCATCACATTAACATAAAAACATTTATGTTTATGCATAAAAATTGCATTTGCAAAAATATGCATAATTAAAAAATCATGTATAAATATGTTGCATAATATGCATAATTAAAAAATTATATTATGAATATAAAAAACATCTTTTTAAAAAAGCACTATATAAAATCTACAGTATTGCATCGAGCAAGTCATAAATTATTTTATGTTAATTAGACCATGGAAGTAAAAAACTTAATTAATTAAACAATGGAAGTATAGAACTTATTTAACATTATTCAGACAAAGAAAGTAAGAAAACTTATTTTACATTAATTTATTTATTTATTTTATAAAACATATTCGCTTCCAACAAGGCCGCAAGCAACCACTAATTAGAGTTGGAAGTTACTGGAAGTTACTGGAAAAGATGAAGATTGTAGAGCAAGATAACGATTGACAGATGACTTGAAAGATTGCAAATTATATGAATCAGGAAAGTAAGATAAAGGAAGTAAATTCCAAAGAACTGATGTTTGAGGAAAAAAAACTAGACGAATAAGAGTTTTCAGAGCACTTAGGAACCGTCACAAAAAAAAGATGATACTTAATTGAATGACGTAACACGAGATTGAATTTTAGAACATGGCACAAGAGAGGCTAGCTCTTTAGAGCAGTGCCCATTATAGTATTTGTAGAAAAGAGAAAGAGAAGCAACATTACGAGGATGTGATAAAGGTTAAAGATTGGCTGCAAAAGCAGGTCTAATTATGTTTACAATGCGTTTTTGCACCTTGTCTAAAAGAGAAAGGGCATCATTAGAAGATCAGCCCCAGATATGGCAAAAGTATTCCATAAAAAACCAGTTTTGAGATTTATAGAGATAGAGAATAGAATGCAGAGTAAGAATGTTTAGAGCTTCATAAAAAGATGCAACTTTAGCAAATGCTAATTTTGCAACGAATTTAATACATGGTTTCCAAAAGAGATCGGAAGTAAGAGTTATTCCCAGAAGAAAAAGGGTAGATGATTCATTGAGTACATTACCATTCATAAATATAGGAAAGTCTAAATTATTGCGATAACGATTGGCTGAAAAAAATTGAGTTTTATCTGAATTAAAGTTAACCAGCCATTGTGAGCCCCATGCTGTAGCAGAAGTGAGATCCTTTTCAAGCTCAAATGTCCCCTCCAAGCAATCAAAGAGTGTTGGCTTCTTGTAATGATAAGAATAAAAGGTAATATCATCAGCGAACAATGAGAATATCTGAAAGATTGTTGATGTAAATTAAAAAGAATATAGGGCCAAGGATTGAACCTTGTAGAACCCCTGAGGTTACAGAATAAGAAGAAGAGTGCTATCCATTGAGGACAACTTTTATACTACGATTGGAAAGAAAGGATTCAATAATGTTAAAGATAATTCTAGATAAACCATAAGAAGAAAGCTTATAGAGAAGACCAGCATGCTAAACTTTATCAAAAGCTTTAGAAATTTCATAAGCGATGGCCTTAACCTCTCCACCTTTTTATAATGCACAACAAAATCTATCGGTTATTACTGTTAGCAACTCAGCCGTTGAAGATCGAAATCCATATTGATGATCAGAAAGTAAGTTATTAGATTAAAAATAAGAGATTAAGTATTTGTTACTTAAAGATTCAAAAACCTTGCTTATGATAGGAAGAAGACTAATGGGACGTTAGTTAGATGAATCAGATCACTCTCCAGAATTTTTAAAAATAGGGATAACAGATGCTGCTTTCCAGCAGGCTGGAAAACAAGACTCTGATAAGCACTTGTTGAATAGTTTTGAAAGTATAGAAGACAGCTTCGGAGAACACTTCTGCGAGACTATAACAGGTATGTTGTCTGGGTTGCAAGTTTCAGAAGAATCTAAGCAGGAAACCAGTTTAGATACAGAAGCTGAAGTGATACAAATGTCAAGCAATGGATCAACCTGTTTAATTGCTACATCAGGCAAAACACAACTAGTGGAATAAAGAGATGATATTGATGAAAAATTCTTAGCAAACAATTCAGCTTCAGGTTTAGGTGAGGTGACAAAGTCTGAACCATACAAGAGAGGTGGAACTACAGATTTGCCCTTAATATTGATACCACTAAAGATTCCGGAAGTCACGAAAGCCTAATTTTTGTGACGAAACACAAGATTTCATGACCTAAGAATAGCGGACTTTGGCGTCAGACAAAACCTTTTTACAATGGTTTCTCACAATAATAAACAGATAACTGTTTTCTGGAGAATTGTTTTGCTGATAGATATGGAAGTAATGGTTTCGATTGGCAATTGCAGCAGCGCAATGTGAGGAAAACCATGGAGATGAGTGAGGCTTGACCTGGAATTGTCAAGAGGAAATAAAGGACTCCATGCCAGCCTGAATCCAAGAAGTTATGTAAGAAGCACATTTGTCAACAGGAAGACGAAAGATTTCTGTCAACAGGAAGACAAAAGAATCAAGGAAAGAGTCCCAGTCAGCTTTAAGATAGTTGTAAGATGTACGATGATAGGAGGATTTTGATGATAAAGAAGAATGAGATATAAGTTTTAGAGAGATCAAACTGTGATCAGAAGCACCTAAGGGTGAATGTAGAGAAACTGAGCACTGACTAGGATCAGAAACAAAACATAAGTCAAGAAGCCATTCAGTTTAATGAACATTTAAATCACTGACAACAACAATATTAACTGATGGATATAGAGATAGGGCTTGGTCAACGTGATCAGAAATAAGATCAAAAAGAGTGCAGTCTTGAGATGAAGGAGAGCAATATAAAACAAAGAGAAAGGTGATAGAGTGAAGTGGTGCTAAACGAAAGCACATAAAACAGTTGTCTGTAAATTTAAACCTAGTTTAAATCCACAGACTACTCTTAGCTGACAAATGGGTGAATTCTTACAAATGTAAATGCCCAGGACAAGCATGTGACTATTGGAGTCTTTACAAATTAAAGGAAGATAACCATCAACACTTCGATCACAAGATGAGATGAACTAAAATTAGTCTCACTAAAAGCAAGTAGGTCTGGTGGTCTTTGCAATAGTTTTTTGTGTTTTATAGTATTTGGTTCTTTATTTATTTTTTAATTTTGTTAAAGAACTTGACTCGAAGCATAGATAGTACTCATTACACTGTTTAATAGCCCAAGCAATTTCTTCATTACTATTAATAAACCCTTAGCCATAACAAAGGGCTCTAATGTGGCCTTGGCAATGCACACCTTAAGTAGAAACAGGGACACCATCCATGCGTAACATGACATTATTAGTACTTATATTTTTCAGCTGTTGATGGAATCAGTCTCTCTATAAATTACCACAGAGTTCCCGAAAACTGACTACCAGCAGGCCTCAGAACCATAAAACTGAGTTTTAGAACTGTACCCTCCTTAAGAGATAATATAAAAAGTTGCCTAGTTATACAAAAAGAGCCACAAATAAAACCCATGTATCGAGTCAAGATAATCCAGCATTCAACATCCTTAACTGGAAACAAGGTGTTAAAAATACATCTGTGCCAGCCTAATAGATGAAGGAGTGCGAGGCTGGTCAACAGATAGAATCTGTTTACCCTTTAGGTCTTTGCCTAGAGGCCTTCTACAAGACAGTAGCCGGATGCATTTAACATCTGCACAAAATGAGTATTTTTATTAAGATACCATCTCTAGCCTTTACTCAACTAAGAGCCCTAAGGCAAGGGGTGTTTTATGTTGGAGTTTGCATCTCCTAGCCTTTGCCTAAAAAAGCGTATCCTACAAGGTAGCAGGACATAAAGCAGATTGTACTGGGTTTGTAGCAGGATAACCTGACCTGACAAAATTAGATAATTTAAATATAAAAAAAGACGTTAATTAGACAATTGAAATATAAAAATTATTTTACATAAATTAGACCATGGAAGCAAAAAATATGGAAGTGAAAAATATGGAAGTAAAAAACACGAAAGTAAAAAGTATTAAATATGAAGTTCAAAAACGTGGAAGTATTAAAGGGATCCCCAACTGCCAAGACAAGTTGTGTTCATATTTAAAAAAATGTTTTAAAAAAGCATTTGGGCTAAATTTTTTTGATTGAAACTTAATAATGAATGCATACCAACAAAATTTAAATTATCGTTTTAGTCGAAGCTCGCCTTCTCCATTTTTTTTTAGTTCTTGGGGTCTGTATAATGTTAGCCGCAATCTGCAGACTTGATAATTTATTTTATGCGTGTTTAATTCATAACAGTTTCGGTATATGATTTCACGCTTTATCTTTTTAAGATAGCATTTTTTTGTTGTTGCTTTTTTTAATGATATAGGTATTATTTACTCTACTACAATCAGAAAATCAACTATTTGTATAATTTATTACTAAATTGCAAAAAATATTTGTGATTTATTAAAAATTATACAAATATATATATTTTTATTTTTATAATTTTTTTTTAATTGCTTTATTATTACTTTGATTTAAAAGCAAGCTAAAATCATGCCACAATTATACATATTTTGTGATTATTAGAGTTCACAAGCAGAGAAAAAATAAAGGCAGTATGATGCAGTTTCTTGTTTTATATTTAGTTCGTATGGTTTAGAGTTGTTCATTTTATGTTTAATTTACATTTAGTTATGATTTAACTCTTTCACTACCGCAAGCAACTGGTAGCGGCTTTCGAGTATGCTTTACAATTTATCTTTTGTACATAAATTTCCATTCTAGACACATAAAATTTGTTTGTTCTAAATGTTTAATAAATTCTCTACATAATCAAGAAAAAAAAGACCTGTATTGTGTAATTATAAAAAAGTTATCACAAAGTTAAAAAATCTTGAAATTTAGTTATAAAATAAAAGTGTTAACACTGTAAAACTTAACTTGTAGAAGTTTTAAGTATTTAGTTAAGTAATTACCAAATTATTTTGAAGAAAAAATATTATTATTATTCCTTAAATGAGGTTTGTTTCGGACTTAACGTTTTAATTAACTAGCTACTACTTTTTTTTTTTTTTTTTTTATTTTACTTCACCTCCTCAAGGCCGAGAAGGCCACTACAGACGAGGAGGCTACTTATTTTGTGGCTATAACCCTCTCTCAACTCTATAACTCCGAAACACGAACCTTGACGAACAAGGCCGCTGCGCAGAGAAACGAGTTGAGCGCGGTACTACCAGGGACGTGGTGGGGATCGAACTCGGAACCACTCGTTTATGAAGCAAGCGCTCTACCACTACACCACTACCACATATACTACTTATAAAAAACAAAAGTTTTAAGCACTTTGCAGTTCTTATTGTTTAATGATGCATGTTAAAAACTATTATTATCGAATTTTAAATAATTGTCAATGTTATGCTATTAAATGTTATTCAAAAAAATGTGCAGTTGCTACAAAAAGATTTTTGTTTGACTGGTAGCGAACAATTTAATGCGATTCTTTGTTTTTATAATTATATTATAACTAATTTTTTTTATATTTTAGTACAAATATTTGTTTTAACGTTAATTTAGTTCGATTTCAATGGTTATTAATAAAATAATTTGTTTAATATTTTTTTTCTACTTAGTTCAGTTTATATGTTTCATTCAAGTCACTCGTTTTTTATTCAGTTTATACTTTAAATTAACTTATACGCTTTAGTAAAATTATTTTTTAGTATCTAGTTTATATTTAGTTTAAACCAGTATGGTTATTGTAATTATTCGCTATATATTAAATTCTTATTTTTATAAATTTTATAAAATAATTCTTAATTTCATCATAACATAATTTCATCATAACATAATTTCATTATAACTTAATTTCATCATAAACTTTTGGGGATTTAGTAAAAAGTTACAATTAACATAATTTGGTGATTGTGGCAAAAAAAAACATCATATACCGAAACTATTATGAATTAAACACGCATGGTATAATTTATCAAGTCTGCAGTTTGGGGCTAACATTATACAGACTCTGAGAACCATTGGAGACAGCGACCTTCAACTAAAACATGAATTTGAAATTTAATGGTGTACATTTATTATATAGTTTTAATCAAAAAAAATTAAGCCCAAATGTTTTTTTTTTTAAACATTTTCTTTAATATGAACACAACTTGTCTCGGCAGTTAGGGATCCCTTTAAACATGAAAGTATAAAACATCAAAGTATTAAACATTTAGGTATAAAAGATGGGCTTATGAAACAAAAGTGCATTAAAACTTCAAGTTATCACAAAATTATGCTTGTAACTGATCATTTTAAAAATTTAAAAAGAAAACAATTTTACTGGATAAAAAACTTTTTTTTATAAAAACATCAAAAATTTTATACTAGAGAGGTATACTACATATCTATAAGCATTTTACCTATTCAACTTGAAAGCTATAAATAATGATCAACATCTTTATTATAACTTTTTTTTTTTTGATGCATTTATTACTTGAAGCAGTTTTTTTTGTTTTGATTTATGGCTCATATCTTATTATGAATAAAAAGACTACTTTAACAATTTTCAAAAAAAATAAAATAATTTAAAGTATATTTCATTAATGAAATGCATTTATGCAATTATACTTATTCTGTTTTAGTTATAACCACTATTAAGTAGCCTCCTCATCTGCCTTCTCAGCCTTGAGAAGGTAAATAAAAAATAAATAAAAAATGTAAAATGAAAACATACATGATTCTTATTGTTTTTATAAGATTATGCTGTAAAACGCATAAATACATATGAGTCAGGGTACAATACCCAATTTAAAATACAACTAAATGAGAACTTTACAATCCCTGATCTGCTTTCAAAAATACTTTTTGAGGGAACACATATTAAACATATTTAAAAATAAACTAATGACATTTTTTTCAAGCAATTACATTACTGTTTAATTAATTTTGAGATAAATATACAAAGCAATAATTTATTTTATATTAAGACAAATTTCAAATATCACAACTTGATACAACTATTAAGAGAATCTTTTAAAAAATATATTTTATTTTTTTTATTTAAAGGAAATATTAATAAGCATTTAAATTATTGTTACATTTTTTTAAAATAACCATTTTTTTTTTACACTTTTTGTTATCAAATCGAGTTTTGCAAAACAAGGTAACATATATACATTTCTTATTATTATATTGTTTTAAGTTTGAAAAAAAATATTTATCTTGAGCATCCATACTGCACAAGTGGTAGCAAAATATGACTGGGTTCATAATTGGTAATGGAAGATTATTAAAATCTTATAACCCTAATGGAAAAATTTAATCATATAAAGGTACATAAATGGTTAACACAAAAGTTATAGCCCAAGTGTAAAAAATTCATCAAACAAAGGTACAAACGCTTCACAAAACAATTGTAAAAAGTTACAATCATAGTTACAAAAGTTTGTCAAACTAAGGCACAAAAATGGTGGCAAAACAAGTTAAAACCCCATGTTATAAAAAATAATATAAAAACTAAAATATAATTTTGTTCAAATAATAATTCCGGTACAATAAAACACACCTCCAAAAGCAGGTCCCATCACAATTGCTGAGTTCCAAGCAGCAAACACAAGGGAGACACCTATTGCTTGATTTGTGTTGTCACATATTTCAGCAAAAGCTGCTCTTCCTACTACAGTAACTCCTTTGATTTACCAAAACAAAAACAAAAAAAATAAAATAAATAAATAAAATGTTAAACAAAATAATGTATATAAAAAATGGCCATAAAAAAATTCAAGTAAAAAAAAGAGTTGAAAAGTTCACCATTAAATAAACCTTGCAAAAATCTTGTAGCAATGGCCCAATAAATATTAGTAGTAAAACCAAAGGCTAGAGTAGCAACAAAAGTTAATAATGCTGAAACAAGTAAAACAGGACGGCGTCCAACCTTATCTGTCAACCAACCCCAGTAGTAGCTAAAATTAAATTAACAATATATATTATCACCATCTCATTGTTATTAAAATAATATTTTAAATAACTTAAGTGAATTAAAAAAAATTGAATTCAAACAATTATAATTAATTGTTTTATTTTAGATTTATAAAATTATGATAATTTAAGATGGTTTGACAAGTCAGAGTTCAATTTTTTTTTATTTTAAAAAATAATTTAGAAAATAAATTTAATGTTATTTAAAAACATTTGAACAATTTCTCTAGGTGATTTGTTTTGAAGTTGCATCTATTTCTCTTTTCTACAAATACTATCATGGTCACTGCTCAAAGGAGTTAACATCTCTAGTTCCATCAACTAAAATTCATTCTCATTTTACTCGTCATTCAGCTAAGTCTCATCTGTTTACTGTATCTGTCCCTGCATGCTCTAAAAACTTTTATTCATCTAGTTTTTTTTTCCCCGCGCTTCCTTTGGAACTCTCTCTCATCTTCATGTTTTCCTGACTCATACAACCTTCAACTTTTCAAGTCTTCTGTCAACCGTTTCCTTGCTCTATAACTCTGTTCTTTTTTTTCCTAGTAACTCCCAACTTAATAGTGGTTGCTTGCAGCCTTGTTGGGAGTAAATGAAAATAAAAAAATAAAAAAAGGTGATAACAATTACTTTATTCAATAATGATAAAAAAGCTCATGAGTCATTTAAAGGTGTATACTTATGGTTGCCAAACAGTACCCGACGACCGAATTTTGTGAAGGGCAACTAAAAATATTCCTTTGATATAATTAAGTTGCTGAAAAGGGCGACTATTGATTTATATTGGCAGTTCTATTTTTTTTTCTTTTTAATTCTATAAAAAGGAAAGTAATTAGTAGAAGTATCAATAAAATTTAAAGCCACAGCTCAACACACTTAATGCGAGTTATCAATGAAGTTTGAAAGAGAATTTGCAAAAACAACACAGAGACATAATTTTTTTACGAACAGAGTGATACCTCATTAGAATGCTTTACCTGAAAAAACGGTTTCTGCAATGACAGTAAATTTTTTTAAAGCTAGACTAGAGAAACATTTGTTAACGGCTGTTAAAGTATAAATTTTAAACTTTATGCTCCGCGACAATCGTCGTTACAGCAGTTTGTATTACTGCTATTACTGTATCATATTTTTTGTCTTACAAACATACAATTTTTCCGGTCTGGAAAAAACAAACATATTAAATTTGTTTAGTTTTTACAACAGTAACAAATAACAAAAAATTTACCAAAAATAAAGTAAAAAAATTATAAAGTAAAATAGAAAAAAGTTAAAACATTAAAGATGTAAAAAATTAAAATATATATTATTATAATTATTGTTATGCTATATTATAGTAATTTTTATTATATATCATAATAATTATTATTATATTAGGTTGATACATACTTGGTACAAAACTTTTGTAGTCACTATTTTTTTTTATACTATTATATTTTTTATTAAATAACTATTATATATTATATATTTTTTATATATTTCAGTATTTATATCTTTATTGAAGTCAGTATTAATCTATTATTCAGTGTTTATATATAATACTATTATATATAAATATATTATATAGATATCTATATATATATATATATATATATATATATATATATATATATATATATATATATATATATATATATATATATATATATATATATATATATATATATATATATATATATATATATATATATATATATATATATATATATATCTTTATAAAATATATTTAAAACTTTCAATAACAACTTTTTGCAGGAGTAAAACTTTAAAAATATATTTTTTAATAATAACTTTTCATTTATATTTATTAATGATAAATAATGCAATTATTTGTAATAAACTATTTTTACAATTGTACAATATTAATTAATTAAATATTGCTTTTATAAAATACTATAAAATAGCCATGTAAGCTATTAACTTTTGTGATTGACACAAAGTTTACATTTAGAAAAGTTTTTTTCCAAACATAAAAGTATAGAACTTTATCTAAGCACTTAACTTGTTTCCAAGAATAATTCTCAATAGAACTTACAGGCTTTCTTATCTTTTTTCCCCAAAAAAATTTGAAAGAAAAAAATTTAAAAACTTTAATTTAGGCCACACTATATCACTATGTACACCTTTCAATCCTTAATTCATCTCTGTAGAATGCTAAAAGGTAAATAACTACATAGAGAGTGACTAATATTTCTCCATACTTATAGAAAAGTGTTGTTTTTTTTAAAACTTTATTACTGCTTTATTCTTTAAGAACATTGAACACTATTTTCAAAATACACTAAAATATTTGACATTATTAACTAATTAGACATAGTTTTAATGAGTTATGAATGTTGTTCAATGTTGTTCAGTGTAGATAGACTTAAAACTTAAGCACAAAAAGACCACTTGTACAATTATCTCTAGAAGCCATTCTCTTGAATTTGTTAAACTTATTTGAAAAACCCAACTTGTCCATATTATAAAGTGTGTACAGTAGGGTGTCCCAAAACGATATGAATTTTTTTAATTTTTAACTATTTCTAGATTTTCAATCAGTTTCATATGTATTTTTATCTACTAAAATCAAAAAAAAAAAAAAAGCACAAAATTTTCATATTTTCTTTTTTTTCTGCTTTTTTTTTTCTAAAAAAATGACACAAAGGACTAAAACTATTAAAATTTCAAATAGTTTTGTAATAAATAAAAATGAAAATTTATTAAAAATAAATTTTCACCTAGTTTATAACATCCCCCACCCCCATTCCTTTCTAATAATACCTTTGTCATATCATTTTTTTCTGCCTAAATATGGAACTTTATAAATTATAATTTTTAATTAAAACAAAAAACTTAATAAATACTCAATTATTAAACAAAGAAGCAAAAAAATGATTGATTAACAATAATAAAGAATAATAAAGATTGGTATAACTTAACAATATTAAAGCACAATGGGAATAAGTACTAAGAAATTAAAATCTCATATTTTTTTTAATTATAACAACAAAATAAAAATATTTTTTAAGGAATAATAAAGGAGATTGTTTAAAGCATATTTTCAAAAATTAAGTTTTTGAATTGCTTGTTTATTTATGTGAAGAAGAACTTTTCGGTGGTGTTCTACTGCACGTAAAAGAAATTCTTTCTGCTCATCATTTTTTGTAATAGATGTTGCATAGTCTTGAATTAGTTTAACAGCTCGTTCTGCTGTATCGTTTACAGATTTCAGTTATTAGATATGCTAAAATATGTGATTACACAATTAACAGTGTATTTGTGTTAGCTTTCTGAAACTTTGGGGATTTTACCAACCAACTGCCGTCCTCATTTGAATATCCGAATAAATTTAGAATGTTACTTGATTTTGGTCTAATTAAATCAGTCAAACAAGTACTCTGCTTCAGAAGAGGAAATTGTGGAAAGCTTATATCATGTTCACAGTTTTCTTTTATATTTTTCAGAATTGTTTTAGCAATTTTAGTTTTATCTCGATCAGATACCTTATCAGAAAATAATGAAAGAAAGGACATTTCTTCGGTTAAATACCAAAGATGCCGATTAAATGTTTCCAGGGCAACAACAGCAACATCATTGTCAATATTTTTATAAATAAGCATTTCTTTGTAGAATTTCAAGTCATGAAATGGGGCATCGGCTGTGCTTGTGCACGTAAGCCATATCTTCACATAAAATAGTAAAGTAAATTTACAAACCGTGAAAATTTCTCTATAAAACTTTCTTCATACTCTGCCAGGTCAGCAAAAGCAAATATCTTTGATGTGTACAAGATTGTACACATCCATCTAGCATGATAGAAGGTTTAGGTTTTTCTAATATCTTGATATTTTTTTCTGTCTAGCAATAGTACTTTCTTCATTTTTATTTTAAGTTTTGTCCTCATTATTAAATGATGCCAATACATTGAAGCTTTTTTCTTCTTTGTTTTCCTTTTATACATTTCTCTTTTTCAATAGCCTTGATTTTATGTTTCTCTTTTTCCTCCTTTCTTTTCACTTTCATAGCATAACTCTTGTCTAATGGGCCCAAAAATTGCTTTTTTAAGTGACACTGATCTGAGAGAAAGTCTATATCTGAGATCTGACTATTGATACTACGCGAGGTATCTTTCCTTATCAAATTTTTTGCATTTGATGCTGCAATATCAAACAACAATGATAGTTTATTAGTAAAACTCAGAAGTTGAGTTGCATAACATTTTTTGGATTTTTAATCAAGTTCTCTCTAAGATGAATCAGATGTAGTATCATTCTGACAATATCTTTCTTCTATTTTATTGGAATTCCTGCCTTTTTCCAAAATACAATAACTTTTTCCCTAATTACAGATGCAACTTTTTTTTTACCAGTTAATTTCTTTAACCTGGAATATTTTGAATATTATTGAGCAATTTTTTTTTACTAATTACTAAAAAAAATTTATTATATTTATTTTGAAACTTAAATTTAATAGAATAAAAAAAATCACATCAATAGTAGTTTTACATTTTATTTCAGAAACAAAACAATAATATTATTAAAATCTTGCAAGATAAAGATAATGGTGTATAACATCTCCATTTGTCGGTATACATCTTTGCTTCAAGGGTAGGTAATAATTTACCAACAATATTATCAAACTTCTCATCATTTTTCCTCAATTTACTATTGCTCATAACTGATCAAATATTTTTTATATATGCTATTATATCTATAGATAAAAAAGTAGCTATAAATTATAAAATTATTTAAATAATGTATGTAACATAAATTTTCTTATCTCAAGCATTGCGAATAATATTATTTAAATAATTTTTGAGAATCATTGAATTGAAATAAATTATATTTACTAATATTAGCTATGATACATAGTTTGGAATTATAATAGTAATCAATATTGATACAAAACATATTTAATTGCAATAATACATTTATATATTTAGCCTAAAATCAATTTAAAAGTAAATAATTTTGAAAAAGTGGGCAGCAGAGGGGGTAAAAAC